AGGTGCTACGGACACCTCAAGGGGACCCCCGGCCGGATACGAGGCACCCTCACCCCCGCCCCGGGAGCCGGGAGGCAGGCGAAGCAGCCGGGATCCGCGCCTGCTTCTCCACCTAGCTTCCCTGCCGGTCCCTGAAAGCCATATCTCGGGCAAAGCGAAGGTAGGAAGGGAGGGGCGTTCGGCCGTGCTAACCTGATCCGAAAGGCCGCTGCCTTCTCTCCCTTAGACGGGAAATGCAGCCGTTGGAAGAAGCAACTAGGCAGTGCGGCCCGCCGAGGGGTCCGTTGGCGGAGATAAAGGCGCGACCCCGCCCGCTTGCCTGCCTGCCTTCCTGCCTGCCCGCGCCGTCCGGGCGCCAGCTCTCTCCGGCCTCCGAGTGAGGCGCGTGGAAGCGGCACCCAGCCCGCCTCCTTCCCGTGCCGGAGCAACGCCGGAGCCGATTGAGGGAGAAGTTTTCAGCGGAGCCTCCCGCCCAGAGGACGCGACGCTCCGAGAAAGGGGGGAGGGGCCCCTCGACGGATGCCAAGCCCCGGTGGCGCGGGCGCGGGCGCCCCGGCTTCTCCTCCGCTCCCCTTTCCTTCCGTGCTCCGTCCACAGGGGGCTCGGGGTGGGGGTGGGGAGCAGGGACCTTCGGCAGCCGCGCGGTTCCGTTCATCTCCACGCCTCTCTCTGCGCGGCGGGCAGGAGGACGCGACCCGCCGGAGACGCGGCGGAGCCCCCTGGGAACCGGAGAGGCGCGCGAGCTGAGCTCCAGCTCCTTCGCTCGCCGGCCGGTCGCTCCTCCCTCGGCCGTAGTCACCTTCCTTGGTCTTAAATTCACCCCCAGCCCAAGTGCCCCATCCGCAAAAGCGGCGTCTGCCAGGAGTGGGCCATACGTAACAGTGTCCCTCCTGGCGTCCCACCCGGCCGCCTACCCGCGGTAGACCAACCTTCGTGGCTCTGGCGGGGAGGTGAGAACCCCTGCCCGCCCCGCCACAGCCAGGCGAGAAGGAGGGGCCCGGCCTTGGCTCGGTTCCTCTAGCCGGCCACCTTTGAGCAGGCCGAGAGGTCACGGAGGGCAACCTCAGGCCGGAGAAGCTGCCCGTCTCCCGCCTTGACTTTTGATGTTCCTCCCCACCACCACCCCAATTCCTGTATGTCCCTTACAAACATAACTGGAGAAGGCTACGTGTGTGTGTGTGTCTGTGTCTGTGTCTGTGTGTCTGTGTCTGTGTGTGTCTGTGTGTGTCTGTGTGTTGGTCTGCCGGGGAGAAGGTGGCCAGAGGCCCTGACGCTATTCCCTGGACTGAAACCCACTCTCCTCCACCCCAGCGAAGCCCTTGGTTTTGTCTGTGTGGCTCAATGACCCTGTGGTTTCCATCTTTGAGAAGCAGGGTGTCTGGGTGTCAAGACCCCCTAAAAGGGAGGGGGTGGAGTGCAAAAGGCAGACACTTTGAACCGTTTCCCCTATTTGTTGTTCTTGTGCTTGGTAATGAGGGGTGGCATGTGAATTGCCATAAAGAAGTCCAGCAAGGACCCTTGGCGAGGAGGTGGTGAGAAGACCCCCTGCCTCTTCTCATGGGACGGCCTCCTTCAGAGACCAGCCCCGACTCACCCCAACTCACCCAAGGCTGCCAGGAAGCTTTAGGGGCTGGTGCTTTTCTCTCCAGGCAGAGCTGGAATCCGAATCTGCCTTTCCCCCAGAGGGGGTCCGTCCTTCACCGGCCCTTGGACGCCTGAAGGAAGACCAGGCGGATGCTGCAAAGACTCTGCTAGCAGGTGTTCCCTAAGCCCCCGGATGGAAGGAAAAGACCCC